TGTAATTTTTGCTGATTCTACTGTAGAGAACAGTACTGCAGTCTTATGTTCTGTTACACATTATAGTACTGCATGTAAGAGTCACGCAAATAAAGCAAAGTCATCGAGTTCAAGTTTCCTTTGATCGCTTCTTTGTTCTGCAAATCATTATTTAAGCGACGCTGTCAGTTAACCATCTGCTTTCAGGAACTGAGTTCTTTTTAAAACCCTTCTTTGGGATTTCTCCCATATTGACAGTGACTGGTCAATGTGGGGGAATTTTGATCATTATACAAGATCATCATTTCTTGAAACTTCTGGTTTCTGTGGACGTGTGATATTACAAGGTCATTAAATGGCTGGGTTTTGTTCTAATCTTTGTAATCTAGCTTTGTGCTTGTCTTTCCACAAAAATCTAAGCAATCGCTTCCCTTTTTGATCCTGTGGCCATTTTTGACTCCCCGAAATGGAAACTTGGTCCATGTTTCTAATTATTACGGATGTTTTGTCACTGTTTCATCACTAGAGGGCGATGGGAGCACAGTTTGGTCCCATTATGTGAATACTATTTTGTGCAGTAAAAACGCAGGGATTATTTTTTAAAGATAGCGCTGCAGAAACCTTTCCTTGTGAATACATTAGGTGCCACTCCCTCTTCCACGGTCCTTTTCTTAAAATCAAGGATTCTGACCGGTTCTGGGCCAAATAACAATTGGACTCAGACACCAAAGTGAAGCCTTTGTCTGCCAAGAACACAAGCTGTGTCCCACCTTAGCCTCCAGCCTCTCAAAAGCAGCACAGCACTGGGGAAGTCCTAGGCCCACACTGCCGTGGGCTGCGTGTTGCTGAGGTCTCCTCGGGGCCACAGATCCCGCAACCAGCCACGTAGGACCTTGCTGTGTGCACTGCCGCTGTGCCTCTGCTGGGACAGGGGTGCTCCTGAGCCCACTCCCGGGAAGCCTAGAGACGGGGTCTGTTAAGATCCCCACCTGCCCTTCACTGGGTTTCAGGACAGAGTCCCACGTGAACTAACCTCTCCTACCCGAGCAAATGAAGCCCTACACCAGGCCCAAGTTTGGTGCAGTGTTGGTGAAGGCCACCCTTGTCGCTTTGTCAGGACAGCGGCCCTTCCAGGTGCTGGTGCTGGAGGCCAAAGCCAGACACTCTGTCCCCAAGGCCCAGTTCTCTGCATGGTGTCCGGGTAGCTCTATCATCGCTGACTGTAAACACAGGTGTGGGGATGACTCTGCCACCGGTGGGCAGCGAGTGAGCGGTGGAAACAGTCCCATGGCCCACAGGGCTGCACGCTAAGCTTGATCACAACTGAAGCTCAGTTTAAGGTGGTCTCGGGTCGGGGCATCCTCACTCCACTCCTAGCCAGCACCGCTGCAGGTGAAATGTGAGTCTGTCCCTCCCCAGTCGGTCTCTATGTGATTTTAGTGCTGTTGGAGGCTTTGTCTCTTCCTCATGCTGGATTTCACCGCAGTGACCTTGAACTTTAAACGGGCCTTGTGCTGGCTTGAACATTCCCAGGCTGCTCCCCTGTGGGTAGAGTCTCACTTCTGGCCTTGCTGCCTAGTTGGGGGTCCCTGTGCAGCCTCAGTAAACCTGACTGGGCCTGCAGGCACAGACCTTCCTGTAGAGCTGGGCTCTTCCTACTAATAGGATTCACTGTGGGGGTGCGGAACCGGAGCTCAGCTTTAAGGCCTGAGCTCCGTTCTTTCTTCCTCTCACAAGTTGAAGCCTTCTTCCTTCTGTGCTGCCCGCTTAGAGCTGCAGGAAGAGCAATGCACAACACCCTTTCCTGCCGCCCTCCCCAACGTTTCTATACTGAGACCTGGTCCATGGGTATCACTTGACTTCCTCACCTCTCTGAAATCTTTTGGTGTTTAAATTAATTTCAAATGCTCTGACACTGGGAATGCATCCACCAGCTCTCCGTGTTTGCCCAGATTTTCAAATATAATTTCATCCACTCAGAGGATTTGACCAATCTTTAATATTCTGACATTTCCTCATTATTCTGTGGATTTTACTTGTAGTTCTATTAATGGAAGTCCCATTCTTACACAACTACCTTTTTTCTCTAGACTGCAGCTTGTCCCTTTTATGATGTTTGTGATCCTTTTCATCTACAGACTTAAAAGTGTTGCATGACTATATCACATTTCATTTATATTTGAGGATGTTTCTCGTGTTTAAGCATAAACATAGACATCTAAACATAGACACATACACAGGCCTTTATGCAGGTCTGAAATATACACAGAAGATGAGTATCCCGTATAACAATTGAATTTTGTCATTGGGAGGAAGGGATCATGTGAACAACATGGGAGCGAACCTTCTAAACAGAAGCAAAACTATCATGGTCAGAGTACATGATAGGAGGCAGTGCTCTGTGCATACTTGTGACATGTAATTTAAAGTTTTTAATCTGAATTCAAGAAAATAGTCTCGCCTTGAATTCTTCCTTCTAAGAGATTTTCTCATTGGAATTGAAGATTAAGCCCAACTCATGAGGAATAAAATGGCTCTTGCAATATAATAAAAGTTATAAATAAAAAGAAGAGAAAAGGAAAACAGGATATTACCAGTCTTATGAAGTTGAGTTTTTATATGAGTTTAGTCAAAGCTTTGTCATTGATGTATATTAGAATTTAAATTTTTTTTTGTATCCATTGAGAAGTCACATACTTGGATATGGTGTTGAATGTGAAATCTAATGTAAATTTCTGGCTTAAGCTTAGTATTTAATACCTTAGCATATTACTAGTTCCAGCAGCTGAAACCTTTTCTGGAAATTTCACTAGTATAATCCCTTTATCTCTCTTTGATATTGAGCTAGTGCTCATCAAAATTTTTGAAAATGTATTGTCTTAGTCACTTTCTCCTTGTTGGAACATAGTACCAGACACCTACACCTTAAAGGAGGAAAAGAGTTTTTTGGCTCATGTGTTCAGTGCATACTTTGTAGGGTCCAAGGAAGAAAGGCAAGGTAAAGGAGCTGCATAGAGGAACACTGTTCACGTTATAGTGGTCAGGAAGCAGCAGAAGGTAGGAGGCAGGTGGTGAGACATGTGCTTCCGGGTCATGCCCTAGAAACCTTTCTCTCACAGACCCCACCTCTTAAATCAAAGACAGATGTAAGGCTCTCATATTTCCATCACCTTTGAAAAGCCCACTTCTACAGGCATGAAGCTCTGGAGCAGCATCTAGATTAAACCATACTATGTATCTTCTCTTTACTTTTAGAAAGAATTTCTAGGACCTGGGTGCAATTCTTTATCCTAAACTTTTAGTAGAAGTCAAGGTATCAAGATTGTTTTTATGGATGAGGATACAATGTTGAGAGTTGGTTTTCTATACACTTTTGATTTTGAGTTCCTCCTCTTCATGGTGTTTTTTTACTAGTATGATTCTTATTTTCTCTAGAAATGATATAAAAAATGCACTGATGCTTAAACTTCTGCTGTGACCACTTTAGTATAACATTTTATCATAAAAATTACAAAACAACTATAAAACTTATGGTGATATTTATCTCCATGTTATATTATACAAACAATTTCATTATTCCAGTAAATGATCTTATTTAAATTTACATGTTACATGGGTAGTTTTAGTATACCATGGGTTGCTAAGGATGTAGATCAGTTTCTTCACAATATAAATATTATTTCATGCCAGTTAATTAATGAAAGTTATGAAGCATGTTGACAACACGTGAAAGTTACGTTTCACACAAAGCTCTCACAAGAAATACAGCTGAGTTCAAATCACTGGGTTATGCCTGTTTGCTTCCTGAAATAGAATTATCAAATTGCTGCGAAGGATGGATCCTAATCAAGGTTAGTACACTGCTGTACAGAGCACATATGAGCAAAGTTAGACTTGGGGAAGTAGAGCAGCGGATCTCCTTACTTCCTCATTGGGTAGGCATCTTACACAAAAGTAAAATACAAATCACTGCACCTTCTAAACATGAGTGAGTCCTTTTCTCTATAAAAATAAGGAAGAGTAGCCACAAGCCTGAACACTGGCAGTAAGTAGTAAACACCAATCCAGTAAGGAAAATACAATCAAACAAAAACAAAACTAAACACACGGCCCTGTGAAACCTCTATGGAAAGATTCAAAGAATATTTTTCTTTTCTTCTTAGTTGAAAATGTTTTGTTATAGCCTATATGCATAAGTTGCCCTCTGATTCCTAATCCTCTAACCTTCTTCAACTCAGTTACACAGTAGCAGGAATTGCAAGAATACCATAACCTTTATCTGCGAAACGGACCTTACTGGGCATTTGCATTCATTTGCATATGCACTGAATTAGACCAAATTATATGTTGCAGGGAATCTACTGGTTGATGGATAACCAAATATATTGAGTTAAGACATCCTGTTTCTCCCCTATAAGCAGGTAAGCTGAGTATGAAGACAAGAGGAGAATAAGATCCCGACAAGGAACAGGGACATTACAGCTCCTTAGTATGACAGATTCATTTAAACCATCATGCAAGACAGAGCTGCCTGAAACGGTTTAAAATTTGATGTTAACAGGACCCACCCAACAGGATGAAGCCTAAAACAAAATTTGGGATTAAAAAATCAGAAACACAGGCAAACACGGACCATGTAAAAAAATTTCTAAAAAATTTAGAAAGCATAGACCTTGTAAAAAATTTCTAGTTAGGAATAATATACAGAATATTTAAAAGCTTCTACTATTCGTCCTTACTGTCAGAGTAAAACTAAAATGTGATCCTCTTGTCCACAGACCTCTATTGTCCTAGAGAATTTTCTCAATTATTATGTTTAAGCCACAGCCATCTCCTTTTAAGGAGGCAAAGTTGTTTAACATTTATTTAGTTGTGTACTAAAATTATTTAGATTTTTAATTCGTACACAAAAGGTCAAACCTTAAATATATATGAGCTCCATCATCATTGCCACCTCTGGGGAGAAAGAGAATAGGTGCCCATCCACACCTCATTTTAAGGACTTAAAGTATTTGTACCCTTTAAGGAAAGACACCGGATAGCTTTTTCCATGTCTTTTGTATGGCATGTTTCACATTTTTGTTCCTCAAGCTGTAGATCAAGGGATTCATCATTGGAATAATCAAAGTATAAAATATAGAAGACATTTTATCAGTGTCTTTGGAGTGACTGGACTTGGGCTGCACGTACATGAATATCAAAGTCCCGTAGAACACTGTGACCACGGTCAGGTGGGACCCGCAGGTGGAGAAGGCCTTGCGCCTGCCCTCCGCAGAGTTCATCCTCAGAATGGTTACGAGGATGAGCAGGTAGGACACGAGGACCACCAGAAGAGAGGAAATCAGATCAAAAGCTGCAAATGCCATGATTATCAATTCAACTTCGTGTGTATTTGAGCAGAGCAAAGATATCAAGGGGATACAGTCACAGTAGAAATGACTGATGACATTGGATCCACAGAAGGGCAAAGTAAAAATCTTTATGGAAATGAGGAGGGACAAAAATGTGCAGTAGAGATAGGGAACCGCCACTAGAACCCAACATACTCTCGGGGACATGACGACGGTGTAGAACAGAGGCTTACAGATGGCCACATAGCGGTCATAGGACATGGCAGACAGAATAAAAAGCTCACTACCAATAAAAACAAGAAAGAAAGCCAGCTGTGCAGCACAGAAATGATAGGAGATTGTATTTTGTTCCAACACAAAGGTTGCCAGCATTTTGGGTCCCACAGTTGTGGAATAACCAAGATCAGTGAGAGCCAGGTGTCTGAGAAAAAAGTACATGGGTGTTTGCAGCCCAGAGTCCACCTGGGTGAGCACGATCATACCCACGTTGCCCACCAGCGAGGTCAGGTAGACGACGAGGAACAGCACAAACAGTGGAGCCTGCAGCTCGGGACGGTCTGTGATGCCCAGCAGGATGAATTCGGTCACCGCGGAGAAGTTGTGTTCTTTCATCTGGACTTATCAGCAAGTGTATTCTGGATAAAAGAGATTTCAAATGTTATCACCACAGGGACATTTATTATGCAAAGCTAGTATATGTAAGATACATTCAAACTTCCCAACTCACATTATTTGAAAGTAAAACTCAGTTTTACAAGTGATACTACAGATAACTTGCAAGAAATATAGAGCTGGGTCTGTGGTTTTCAGCAAGGACAATTTTATTCCAAAAAGAACATAATTCAATACCTAGGTAAAATTTTGTGGTTAAAATTGGGCTAAGGCTAATCCTTGTGTTCAGTGACTGGAACCTACTTAAGATGTTGGTGTCTATGTCTAATATTCGGCTTACAACAAAAACATTTAGCCTAAAATATCAGTAGTTTTGAGGCTGAGAAATCATGAGAGACATAAAGATGGAAGAATAAGAAAGATGTTTTCCTATTTGTCATTTGAATAATTGCAACTATTCAGTCACATTTGTTAATTACATTTACCAATGGGACATTATACAGAGTCAAATTAATTGATGTTTTATATTTACAGCTTCTGAAAGTGCATAGATCACCATAATTTAAAAACAGTCATCTACAATTTATATACTTGCATTTGGTATATCTGGTATTGTTCAAACACTTGGTAGATATGAAATGCATATATAAATTAAAACAATATAGCACTTATATAAATTTAAAAAACTGTACCACAAAGCTATACCATATATACAATGTTTTATATATATATGTGTGTGTGTGTAGGGGAATGGATATGGTTATATATTACTACCATGTGTTTTTGCATATAAATAGTATTTTCACAGGATTTTTAGTGCTAGTAATTAAGCAAAATTCTTCCTTTGTAAAAACTATTAAGTTCCTACCAAATTTATTTGGAAGCAAGAGGGAATTTTCAATATTTCAGCATGCCAGGCACTTGAAAATAGTTTACACAGACCATTTACTCATGTATTCTGTCTTTAATCTATATTTTTAAAACTGTAACCTACCTGGAAGAGATTTTCTTTGCATGTGGATATGTGCATTCCCCCAAGTTGTGAGTTCACTTCTGTATTGAGGCTAAAATGGTGAATAGTTGAGGAAAAATCAGTAGGTGAGGAAACAAAATTTATCCTGATCTTTACCTCATCCCTCTTCCATTATGACTAAAATTAGATGTTCCATGTATACTCACTTTGGATTTGTTATCTTCTCTTATTTGTAAACAGTACTATAACTTGTACTGTATTGTCTTAATATAAATTTACTTTAAGTAGCCTTCTCCCTCTGTGGAAATTTTCATTAAAATTTGAAAATGCTTTTGTGTAAGTAACAAATCAGATGTTTGGTATGAATGTGGGAGCTGGGGGAACATAAGAAGTGTGAACACATTAAAAGAAAGAGACCTTCAGCATTGTTTTTTTGCCATTGTTTTATACAATGAATGCCCATAACGTTCCCTTTGGAGACAGGAATAATGTATTTTAAATTGAAAGTTTGATGATATATTTTATAAAGCTATACATGGGATTAAAATTTTACTATGAATCACACTACCATGGAAGAAACTAAAATACAGAAATGACGAACATACACAGAGTGTGAGATGGGTCTTGGAATCTTCTGTGGGATATGCCACCATAACTTTCTCCAGATGTGCCCAGTATCCATATTAACATATCCATATTATGTAGATAAACAAGTATCAACCAAATGACATATATTTGAAAGTGTCTATTAGCCCACAGAACATTTAGCAAGTAGAGAAAAAGTGAATGACATTTAAAGGTAAAATAATGGCATTTAAAGGTGAAATAATTACAAAATAAATCATAAATAATTACATTTAAAGGTAAAGTAATTAAAATGTAAAACATTATTAGCAATTCTTCCTACATAGAAAAAGAAATAAATGGCTCACTCTCTAGTAAAAATTGTAGTGACAGCCATCTGGACCTGAGCCACAAGCAAACAAACAGTATCACACAGGTTTGCGGCGATCTACGGACAGCCGATTCTGTGTGATTTTGACCCACACGTGGTATGCTCCCCTGGTTGTGCTGTGGCCACTTGATCTCCTGTTCTGCTGCTTTCGGATTCCACATGGATGGTAAACAGAACCAAGTGCCAGACTCTAGAACTGGAGGGTGACTGTAATCAACGCCTTCACAGTCAGTTTAGATCCTGCTTTTGGGTCCTCTGGTTTGGTCTCATTGTAATCCTCCCTACTCCTGTATCTCCCGCACAGGAAAACTGAGAACCAGTGTCCTGTAAATTGGAAAAAAAAGATACAGATGCTCCCTCTTACATGCATTGGAGTTAGTGAAAAAAGAAAGGTTTTTGTTTTGCTAATCTTCATTGAATATTCAACTTTGCTCTGAAGAAAAAAATGTTCAGTCAGAGGCAGATTCCAGGGGAAAATGCATTTTACCATTGCCATAAACCTGCATCCTTACCAGATATTTGATCCTGAAGACAGATCTCTCTGTCTCTCTCTCTCCCTCTCTCTCTCTTTGTAATTTATCTACCTGTCAGTCTGTCTATCTTCCATCTATCTACATGAATGTGAAGTGAAACTTAACCATGTGAAGATATCAGCAATGAATGCCATCCTTACAATTATTTACATAAACCTATATGCTAAAATATTTTTAAGGGAGTCACACAAAGAGTCTAAGTCCACTAAAAACTAGGGATTTGGATTCTATCCAAATGGGAAACCGAATTAAAGCAGTTTCAACTTCTGCCTTTAAAAAAAAAGAATATCTGTGTCCTTTTATTTGTGCTGCATTCCTCACTTTTGCTGTCCACTCGACATAAAATTACATGAATTCAAAATTAAAATTTTTTCTACACGTGCACCATGCATGTGTTTCAGTGATGCTGGAAAGCTCTGAATAGAGCAGGAGATGTTCAAATGTTAATATGAAGAAAGAAAAAGTTCGGGTCCCACTGCTGCTCAGGGATGATGCAGTAGTAGAAAGCGCGAAACTGGGTCAGAAATGACCATTTACTTAGATTGCAAACCAGAGCCAAACGCGACCATTTCTGTAGACACTGGGAAGCTATGGGCCACATGAACGCTTATGGCATTTTTACCTGCGATGAAAACTCTTTCTGAATTCGTTCATGGTTTCTGATCATCTCATCCTTGAAGCTGATTTATGTTTTGTGTTTATTTTCCACTTTTCGTTCTCTCTCTGAGGAGATGCCAAGCAATTCGTTGGTTATTCCCAAAGCATTCAAATGATTAATGAAATGCTTGGAGATTGTCCGCTAATTGTTAGAGACAATTTCTTCTCACCTTTGCATGGATTTATTCACTGTACAGGAAGCCCTCTTTTGGGTTTTACCCGAAACTCTTATGTTATGTTATGCGCAATAAATGAGTTCTAGCGATCTGCTGTGAAACACCGTGCCAGTAGGTAACGGGACTCTATTGTTCGTTAGGAAGTGCTAAGAGTGCTAACCTAACAGCAAACATAATAAAATAAACAAACAAAACTCACAACTCCGGGGCACAAAATGTGTTAAAAGAGAAGAGTCTTGAAAATGTTATCAGAATTCCAAGAACCAGGAAAAGTCACCTTTACTGTGAAACCTCTGTGAGAAAAATCCTGCATAGAAAACTACGCGGGGATAAGGAACAGCTTGCAGGGATCAAAGGAAGTGAGGGTGGGGTGGAATTACTCAGTGGGTGCTTTGTAAGAATGGAAATGTAGCATAACATTCACATGCATTCTTGAATGTACAGTTATTCTTATCTAAATTCTCTTATTCTAAATTTTATTGAGATGGATGAAGCATTTTTAAAATTACCACATGTTGCTGACTCCAATTGTCTTAGCAATTGCATCACTTATTTGCGAGTCCAGGTTTTCAAACTACACATACAAGGGGAAAAGTTTAAACATTTTAATACAACACATAAATTATAAAATATATACTTCTAAAATCAAATAAATGTCATATAATTTTACCTAAGCATATTTCATTCCCTTTATGCCCATTATTTGAGATCTGTTGACATTCTGAACAACATTTATTTTAGAAAGAGTATATTAGTGTACATTAACTCACATCTTAATTTTTTCATATTAAAGTATTAGAAACTTTATTATAAAGTCATAATTGCTAAAGGTGGTTTGGGAAAAAATTAATTTTAAAATATATTAATTTTAATATTTTCATACCCAACAATAAATTATATTAGCATTTCCTTTCTGGAGCACTGTGGTACAGCTCAGCAGTGCAGTACCTGCCTGGCCAGTGTGAGGTCCTGAGTTCGATTCCCAGGACACACAGGTAGAAAAACTTTCAATCATTGCATGATGCATTCTGTAGGGAACTGCAATATTGTCTTGCATATGTGAACCAATAAATTAAACTGTGTTGTATATTTCCAATAAAATGAATAAAATATCTACTGCCTAAACTCAGTAGTAATATTTATTACAAGGTGACAATATACATGGTGTTTTAGTCTTCAGATAATTATTTCACTCAAATTGTAATGTGTATGTTCTCTGTGGGTTCACACACTTCCATATATCCACTGAATTATACAAAATCATTGCTGCATTGGACCTGTGCTTGTTGAATAGCACATTTTGTTGAATGAATAGGCTCCAATGGGTTAATACATGATCATCTGGTCATTGATGAGAAATGAAAAGTATGCTAAGATTGTAACATTAGAATATCTACTAAGAACGCAAGTGTATTCATAGGACATATTCATGCTGCACTCATCCTGCTACAATGAGCCTCTTGAAAATGCAATCAAGTTTGTAACACAACCACTACATAGTGTGTAAAACCTAATGTTCTCATGCAGACAGACACACAAAAGAAGCACAAACACGAAGTCATACATGGCCACAGGAAAGTTTATAATAATGCTGAAAATACCAAAAATATTGCACTATGAGAGACTGAAGCAGGATGAACATTAGTTCAAGTCCCACTGGAACAAAAATGAGGCTCCTCAAGAACCTGTCTTGAAGGGAAGAAAGAAAGAAAGAAAGAAAGAAAGAAAAAGAAAGAAAGGAGAAGGAAAGAAAAAAGAAGGAAAGAAAGAAAGAAATGCTCAGGACCTCAAAGAACAAAACGGGTTTTTGACTTATCTTCTATTCCCACTACTTTTTACACTCCATTCAGCATACAGCTGTACTGATAGACCAGACAATTTTAATGTACTAACAAAATTCATTGAATATTATACTATAATCAGTCTCTCTCAAGGAAGCACAGCTTTTTAATGATTTTTTTCAGTGATGCATTTGTAACATTTTGAAGTTTAAGTAGAACCACAGTCCCAACATTCAAGATAAATGGAGTCCAGCAATAGTATTGTACCATTATATTGTACATGACTTGAAAGAAAAATGCTTGCATATCATTTTCCAAGTCCTATGAAGAGCACATTTGACATCTTTGTTCCTCAAGCTGTAGATTAAGGGATTCAACATGGGGATGACCAGGGTGTAAAATATGGAAGCCATTTTGTCAGTGTCAAAGGAGTGATTGGACTTGGGCTGCACGTACATAAATATCAAAGTTCCATAGAACACTGAGACCGTGGTCAGGTGGGACCCACAGGTGGAGAAGGCCTTGCGCCTGCCCTCTGCTGAGTTCATCCTGAGAATGGCAATAAAGATGAGCAAGTAGGACACAAGAACCACCAGAAGGGAGGAAATCAAATTAAAAGCAGCTAGGATCAGAATTATCACCTCAATTTCAAGAGTATCTGAGCACAGCAATGTTAACAAGGGGAGACTGTCGCAGTAGAAATGACTGATGATGTTGTGTCCACAGAAGGACAAAGTAAAAATCTTTATGGTGACCAGAAGAGAAACAAACATGCAGTAGAGATAGGGAATCAGCACTAGAACCCAACACACCCTTGTAGACATGACAACAGTGTACATCAGAGGGTTACAGATGGCCACATAGCGGTCATAGGACATGGCAGACAGAATAAAAAGCTCACTAATAATGAACAGAAGAAAGAAAGCCAGCTGTGTAGCACAAAGGCAATAGGAAATTGTATTTTGTTCCTCAACAAAATTTACCAACATTTTGGGTCCCACCGCTGTAGAATAGCCAAGGTCTGTGAGAGCCAGGTGTCTGAGAAAAAAGTACATGGGTGTTTGCAGCCCGGAGTCCACCTGGGTGAGCACGATCATGCCCACGTTGCCCACCAGCGAGGTCAGGTAGATGATGAGGAACAGCACGAACAGTGGAGCCTGCAGCTCAGGACGGTCTGTGATGCCCAGCAGGATGAACTCGGTCACCGCGGTGAGGTTGTGCTCCTCCATCCAGGGTGATCAGAAGACCGACTTTTGTAAGAACATCAGCATAGGGTAAAAGTGGAAATATTATCACCTGTAGGTCTCTTACTATGCAAAACTAGGTAAATAGGATACATTCAAACATTACAGTATAGAATACTATCATATATAATTTTAAATAAATGATTTGAACATTTATATATGTATATATACACACATGTACATAAATTAGAAAATTACTGCCCCTCACTGTGGGTGACTATACTCATAAAAGTATCTTATTAATTGTTCAGCGATGATTCATTTATCTTTATTAGGAAATAAATAGCTACTGGCATTAGTCAATCTACTAAACATCCTACTATATCCAATATCCACTTTGAAACAATAAACCCATTAATAAATTGTTTCCAAGGTCGAGAGGCCTTCATGCATAGATAGATAACTAGCCAAAGAATCTTTACTTTGGAGCAACAATTTAGCTCAAACTCTACAGTCATATACAAAAACATATCCTTGCAATATTGATTGAAAGAATAATTAAGTGACTCAACGTGCCTAAGATTTCTGGAAAGAATTCTTATAGATCAAGCACATCTGTATATTTGTGTTTTTTAGTGATAATGGTAACCCCCTTGAAATAGTTTTTAACATGTACAGTTATACTAATTATATAAAATAAATGTGCTCGTATTTCTCCCTCTCTATGCTCCCGATCCATGAGTATTTTGAGACCATTTTCATGACTGATCTTCTATTGCTAATAAGTAGGATAGTGACATTTTCATATAAGTTGTTTTTGGATAAATTTATTGAAAATATTCTTCCCCTCTGGTTATTTTTATTACAGTTGAAATATACTTACTTGCATATAAAATCAAATGAACTTTATCATGCCAACACCTGGGGTAGCACAAAGAATTCTGTGTAAATTAGGAAAAGGATGAGTCATCAGTATTAGATTTAAAAATTGAAGAGCCATAAAATTCTCTTGGATAAAAAATGCTATGATTTATGCAAAATAATGAGATTTTGTAATAAATTTCATAAACATACACTTTTTATAAACTAGGAAGTATGCTGTAGAATATCCTAGCGACAACACAGTAGTAAACATGATATATTCACAGATTATTGAATGTATTTTAGAACCCTGTATCTGATATATCATCAGGACTTCCAAATACCATAGAGCACATTATGCAGACAAGTATGTGTAAACTAAATGAAATGCATTTGAATTCCTTATTACCTAGGGACTTAAATATGGCATAGTGGAAGGTGAATATGACATCTTAAAGTAAGTTAATTATTATTGATATAAAAACTTGTGAGCAAAACTTTTCCTTTTTAAAAAAGAAAAAAATGGAAATGATACTCATTAGAGTGAGATCTACCATGATGCCCAGCAGTACTTGAATTATAAGCAAACAAAACGTTCATTCAAGTTCACATTGAACATCCAACTGATTGCAGGTCATTTGGGTGGAACTCATACAAAATGCTCCTTGCGTGGTAGTGGGTATTTAATCTCTTACTCTGCCCTTTCAGACATCACCCTAATATTAAATATAAAAATAGGCCAGGTAATGGCATTTGAGAAATACCTTCAATAAGCACAGGAACAAACAGTTCAAATCCTTTTTGGTGTTGGTTTGGCTTGGTTTCTAAAAATGAAAGATTACAAAACAATATACACACCATAATGAAATATAAAGATCCATGTAATGTAGAGAAATAGAGGTAATTTAAACAATTCTGGAGATAAATGGAAATTGCTTTTCACAGTTGACTAATTACAATTGAATAATCATGTTTACTTTTAAACATGTAGTCTGAGAGAATTTAGTCAGATGGAACATCTAAAAGAACATCTTCCCATTATTATTAAACTTGTCATAAAATATTTACTCTAAAAATCAATCCCTATATTTCAATGTAAAGGGGAAATTGTTTTTCCTTAGGAAGATATCAAAAATGGATCTAATTCTTCCATTTATTTACAAAATCATATACATCCAAATACTTAAGGTAGTCAAAAGGAATTTAGAACCACTCAATACTTAAGTATTTGCCAGAGATCAAACTGAGAGACTGAATCACTGCTATTTCAATATTTATTTACAAAATCTTATACATCCAAATACTTAAGGTAGTCAAAAGGAATTTAGAACCACTCAATACCTAAATATTTGCCAGAGATCAAACTGAGAGACTGAATCACTGCTATTTCAATATCTCCCTTAAAAATTCTTCATCTTTTCACTTACAGTAGATCTCAGTTTTACCATCTGCGAGGTCCAACATTACATGCATAGAAGGTGAAAAACTTTCTACACACACACACAATGTGTATTTCAAAGGGGATTTCTGCCTCAGGCTATGAGGACATTTTTCAAATTTTAACATGAAGAACTGTGAGGTTCCACTGCTTTGCAAGCATTACAAAGTGATTGCACAGAAACTGAGTCAAAAATGGTCCCTTTACCAAATGGTAAAGCCATTGCAAATCGGGACCCATTCTTTAGATTTTGATAACACACGACAGCTCATAGTCTATCTTTGTTACCTGGAATGAACTCACTCTCTTGAGTCTCTATGTTTCTTAACTTGTGGGGTTTGAGGACAATTTATGGACTTTTTTTAACTTTAGAGTCTGTCTAGGGAGATGCAAAACCATTGGAGATTAACCCTAAACCATTTGATGCATAATCAAATGCCTAGAGGTTGTCCACTAATTGCCTAGCACATTTTAAAATCAACTTTGATTTATTTATTATAGGCCCAGGCACACCATGTCTGGGTTTTAGCTAAACATATTAGTATTTGAAGTATATCTCAAAGGTGTCATTATTCTCGTATTCCATGCCCTAAATCCAGAAGTAGCCAAGATTTAGAAACAACCTAAATATGTATTACCTAGGAATGAATAAGTAGAATGTATCTTCCATGAGTAATGGAATATCAGACTGATCAAGGATATCCTACAATATGCAATAACATGGGACATTGTAGCTCCTTAGTATGACAGATTCATTTAAACCATCATGCAACACAGAGTTGCCTGAAACGGTTTAAAATTTGATTTTTTTAGAAAAAAAACACACAATAGGATGAAGCCTAAAACAAAATTTGCAATTAAAAAAATCAGAAACACATACATAGAGGCAAACGTAGACCATGTAAGAAATTTCTACTTAAGAATGCCACAAAGAGTATTTGAAAACTTCTACTATTCATCCTTATTGTCAGACAGCACAAAACTCTACTATGTGATCGTGTTGTCTGTAGACCTCTATTGTCCTAGAGAATTATCTCAATTATTAGGTTTAAGACTCATCCATCCCCTTTTAGGGAGGCAAAGTCTTTTATTGTTTATTTAAGTTTGTACTAAAATCATTTAGACTTTTTACTAGTACAAAGAAGGTGCAACTTTAAATACATACAACCTCCATTGCACTTGACACACTCTAGGGATAAACAGGGTAGGTGCCCATCCACACCTCATTTTAAGGACTTAAAGTGTTTGTATCCTTTAAGGAAAGATGCCAGATGGCTTTTTCCACATCCTTTGTATGACATATTTTACATTTTTGTCCCTCAAGCTGTAGATCAAGGGATTCATCATTGGAATAATCAAAGTATAAAATATAGAAGACATTTTATCAGTGTCTTTGGAGTGACTGTCCTTGGGCTGCACGTACATGAATATCAAAGTTCCGTAGAACACTGTGACCACTGTCAGGTGGGACCCACAGGTGGAGAAGGCCTTGCGCCTGCCCTCCGCAGAGTTCATCCTCAGAATGGTTACGAGGATGAGCAGGTAGGACACGAGGACCACCAGAAGAGAGGAAATCAGATCAAAAGCTGCAAATACCATGATTATAAATTCAACTTCGTGAGTATCTGAGCAGAGCAAAGATATCAAGGGGATACAGTCACAGTAGAAATGACTGATGACATTGGATCCACAGAAGGGCAAAGTAAAAACCTTTATGGAGATGAGGAGGGACACAAATGTGCAGTAGAGATAGGGAACCGCCACTAGAACCCAACACACTCTCGGGGACATGACGACGGTGTAGAAGAGAGGCTTACAGATGGCCGCATAGCGGTCATAGGACATGGCAGAGAGAATAAAAAGCTCACTACCAATAAAAACAAGAAAGAAAGCCAGCTGTGCAGCACAGAAATGATAGGAGATTGTGTTTCTATTCACCACAAAATTTATCAGCACTGAGTCATAAAATGTGTGGAAAGAGAAAAGAGTCTTGAATATGTTATTAGAATTCCAAGAACCAGGCAAAGTCATCTTTACAGTGAAACTTTTGTGTGAAATATCCAGAATGGAAAACCACATGGGGATCAGAAACAGAGTGCAGGTATCCACGAACATGAGGGTGGGGAGGAATTACTCAGTCAGTACATTGTAGGAATAGATATGCTGCATAACATATATATGCAATCTTGAACGTACATTTATTCTCATCTAATTTCTCTTATTCTAAATTTTATTGAAATTGATGAAGCATTGTTTAAAATATACCATTTTATTGACTCCAATTATCTTAGCAATTATATCACTTATTTGTCCATCCAGATTTTTCAAACTATACATGCAAGAGCAATGGTTTAAAATTTTGGAAACAATGTATAAATTATAAAATGCATGTTCACTTCTAAAATCAAATGAATGTTATATAATTTTACCTAAGCATATTTCATTCCCTTTATGCCCATTGTTTGAGTTCTGTTGACATTCTGAACAACATTTATTTTAGAAAGAGTATATTAGTGTACATTAGCATATACCTTTATTTTTTCAAATTATAGTATTAGAAATTTTATTATAAAGTAATCATTGCTAAAGGTGATTTGGGAAAAGAGTAAATTAAAATATATTAATTTAAATATTTCCATACCACCAACAAATGATCTTAACATTTCCTTTCTGGAGGACTGTGGTACAGCTCAGCAGTGCAGCACCTGCCTGGCCAGCATGAGGTCCTGAGTTTGCTTCCCAGTACACACCGAAAGAAAAACTTTTTCTTTTTTTTTTTTGGTACTGGGAATCGAACTCAGGACCTTGCATGTAAAATTTTTCAATTCTGTCATTGCACTATGCATTTTGCAGGGAATTATGATATTGTCTTGCATATATGAACAAATAAATTGTTGTGCTGTATATTATATACAAAGTGAATAAAATATCTACTGTCTATATAGTAACATTTATTACAAGATGACACCATATATGAGGTTTTACTCTTAAAATAATTATTTTACTTGAATTTTAATGTATATTCTCTCTGTGTATTCACATACCTACATAGATCCACTGAACTATACTAAATCATTGCTGCACTGGACCTGTGGCTTGTTGAATAGCACATTTTGTTGAGTGAATGGGCTCCAATGGGTTAATACATGATCAACTGGTCATTGATGAGAAATGAAAAGTATGCTAAGATTGTAATATTATAACATGTGCTTAGAACACGAGTATATTCATAGGACATACTCAGCTTGCTCTCATCCCGCTACAATGAGCCTCTTGAAAAGGCAACCAAGTTTGACTTTTGTACAACCACGTTGTAGTGTATCAAGCCTGATGTTCTGACACACACGCACACACACACACACAAAGAAGCACAAACACAAAATCATACACACATGGCCACATGGAAGTTTATTGTAAGGCTGAAAATGCAAAAAAAAAAAAAATTGCACTAGAGAGACTGAGGCAGGATGAACAAAGTCCCACCTGAACAAATTAGGAGCTCCTCAAGAACCTGTCTCTAAATAAGTAAGTACATGCGGAGGATGGCGTTTATTGTGAAGGCGGTAGGAGGGATACTCTGTACCTCAAAGAACAAAAAAGACTTTTTACTTGTCATCTGTGCCCACTACTCTTTTACACTCCTTACAGCATATGGCTTTATACATCGACCAGAGCACTTTAATGTACTAGAAAAATTCGTTCAATAATACACTACAATCAATCTCTCTTTCTCAAGGAAGCACTGTTTTTTAGTGTTTTGTTCACTGATGCATTTATAAAATTTTTAAGTTAAAATAGCACCAGAATCCAAACTTTCAAGATAAATGGAGTCCATCTATGGAGGGCAGCAATGGTATTGCACGATTATATTGTACATAGCTTGAAAGAAAAATGCTCGCATATCATTTTCCAAGTCTTATGAAGAGCACATTTGACATCTTTGTTCCTCAAGCTATAGATCAAGGGATTCAACATGGGGATGACCAGGGTGTAAAATATGGAAGCCACTTTGTCAGTGTCACTGGAGTGACTGGACTTGGTCTGCATGTACATAAATATCAAAGTGTCGTAGAACACCGTGACCACGGTCAGGTGGGACCCACAGGTGGAGAAGGCCTTGCGCCTGCCCTCTGCGGAGTTCATCCTGAGAATGGCCACAAAGATGAGCAGGTAGGACACGAGGACCATCAGGAAAGAGGAAATCAAGTTAAAAGTGGCTAGGATCAGAATTATCACCTCAATTTCAAGAGTATCTGAGCAGAGCGATTATAACAAGGGTTCACTGTCACAGTAGATATGGCTGATGACACTGTGTCCACAGAAGGAAAAAGTAAACATCTTTATGCTGAAGCAGAATAGATACATGCTGTACATCCCAGTCCTGATCCCATCACACCTGCCCCTGCACTGTGAATCACACTGAATGAAGAGAATACCGTTGCTTTGAGTTACTTACCTTCTTTTTCATAGTTATTTTAATAAAACTGTAATGTGTGGTGCTTGTATATAAATTAACTTAAATACTTTTTTCACTGAAGTTCATTGTCCTTATAAGATGTATATTATTTACAGATGATACTTTAAGATATATATATCTTAAGATATATATCATATATATCATATATCTATATATTAGTCTTACTATAATTTTCATAAATGTATACAGTGCATAAAACTTTTCTTATGCACGCAATAATTTGCAGGCTCTAAATACTTTAATTCTGGGATTTATATGGATTACTGGTACAGATCTGAAATCATTCTGTGCTTGAAATTCATAAGAAAATGCAATAGCACATAACTCATACAAATACATGTGTAGTATGATGTAATGTATCCAGATGTCTCTAAGGCCCAGAAATTTCAAATCATAACATACAAACAAATGTATGATCTTTAAGGTAAGATAATTATTACTGTTGTAATAATTTGTACCAATATTTCCTAAATTGAAATAGAATTGTCACATTTTGTATTTAAAAATGTAGTAACAATAATCTGCATCAGGTATAAAGAAATGAAATCACAGAAAATTAAATATAAAGCTGAGTCAGAATCCCTGCTATCTTGCATAGAATGTCATACTATAAGAGCTGCCTGGTACCCTAACTAACCTTGTGTCCTCACCACTTATAAAAATATTTACCAATGACATTATGAGAAGAACGCTTTTATAAAACCACTAAGAGAAAAATCATGTTGTTTTTGATTGACTTAATGTGCAATCATGAAAGGTTAAGAAGGATGAAAAATTAAAAGTTAATTGCCTATTTTTCTATAAGGGAAAATGAAAAGGTTTCCTCTCACTTCCCCGGGAATTCTGTAAAACAGGTAAATTGCTTTTTCATAGATATTTTCTTTACTGAATATTTAAATTTTATTTTTTAAAAGATTAAATTTATTCATATCCTTTTGCCAAAAGGAAAACATTTTGCCATTACAATAATTTTGGGTCCTTAAAACCTCCTAAATCTCCGCTAATGTTTTCCACTTCTTGATGTGACTGCGAAATTCTCACAAGATTCAGAATTAATCACGCTTGTATATTTGTTTACCTGATCACCGATTTAAATTTATTACTACAAGATTCCCAGAGAAACACAGACTATGTAAGTGTTAAAAGCATGTCAGAATGCAAATATATCTGACTATGTATACATATTCATAATATGCAAAATTAAATGTTTTATAAGGACACACAATGTGTGCTGCATGTACTTATACTATCAAAGTATTTGAAAACATTTGAAATTAATATGAAGCAAAAGCAGAGCTCCTCCAGCTTCTCAACACTAACGAGGTAAGGAAAAGCACACACAAACTGAGCTGTGAATGGTCACGTACCTTAGTGGCAAAGCCCTATCAAACTGTGACCATTTTGTAGGTATTGGTAATGTACGGCAATGCCAACAACCTTCTGTCTGCATCACCTATAATTAAAACTCTCTCCTGGTTTTCCCATGTGTTGTTTTTAACAATGCTGTTGCAAGACAATTTATGGATTTTTTTAACCTTTTGAAACTATCCCTGAGAAGCAGCCAAACAATTGTTTGATTATCCCTAAAGAAACTGAGATCTTAGTGCAGTGCCTGGAGGTTTTCCAATAATTGTCAAGGACAATGTGGATACAGTGTGAGTCACGTATTAATCCACTGAATGCCCACAGCCCAATTTCTGTGTTTTATCTAAAAGAATTATTACTAGAGTTTTAAAAGTATGTTGCAATTTTCATATATATTGTGACAACATTCAAAATAACAAAGATGTGGAAAAACCTAAATATCCACTGACAGAATAACAGATAAAATGTTGAGTATACATGCAATGCAATATCAGTTAGCCTTAAATATGAATCCTTCAATACGTGATAACATAGATGAATCTGAAGAACATTATGCCAATGAAACTATCCAGTCACAGGACAGATACTATGAATGGCTCCAATCGCATGAACTATATAATACGCCTGAAGGTAGAAAGTCACACTGGAGGGTACTATTTGCAAAGGGCTGGGTGCTGGGGAGAATGAGGAATTGTTTATAAACAGTCAGGAGGACCCATTATGAAAAATGAGTAAGTTCCAGGAATGTGCTTTGAAGCATTGTGTCTGTAACTACAGTAGCTACTGACTAACTCACAACTGTGAGTGAAATTGCTTGGTGAGGTTTTGTCCTGATGGAGATGTTTTAGATGTAGAGAAATCTGTTTTTTGCAAAATATCATGAATCTGCTAATTTGCATCAAAAGAAGTAAAATAATACATTTTATGACATGTGAGTTTTAACTTAATAAATTACATTAATTGTTTTTAGAAATGGTTTGCACCTTCATGGTATTTTGAATACAAGAACTTATTTTGGCTGGGATTTAACTTAAGGTCTTGCCACCATGCCGTATGTTGAGCCTTCTTTTTATTTTTTATTTTCAGATGGGGTCTCTCTAAATTTCTACTTTACCAAAGGTAGGCTAGACCTTGTGATCTTCATGTCCCCACCATTCAGAATGCTGGGATAACAGTAGTGCACTACCATGCTTGTCTAGCTGCAGGCATTCTTGGTAACACATTTTTTTGTATTACATGCATAAAATTTTAAAATAGATTTACATTAGTATTTTATGACTTTAGTTACATAGAGTTTCAAGATTAGTGGGACAAGAACAGTGCCTTTCAGACCTTATACAATTTTTAAAACATATAGTACTCCAAGACAATTCTACTAACTGTAAATATTTTGATTCAAAGGGATAATTGTATGTTTTTCTAAATTGAAAATATTCATTTGCCTAATGCATATTTTATAAGAATACAATTGGCTTTATATACTTTATTACTTTGCCATTGCAGGGAATATTATCTGACACCCACAAATAAAGGAGAATTTTATTTTGGCCCACAACTTCAAGTGGTCCAGTCCATGGTTAGCTGGCTTCAAGGCAGAAATGGCATGGTGGAAGTGTGTGGGATAAGAAAGGTGCTCAACCCACAGCAGCCAGGAAACAGAGAAAGGGAGGGGAGAGGGGAGGAACCAGGGTAAGGAACACGCCCTTTCAGATCACGCCAGCAGTAACCTACTTGTTTGAACAGGGACTCGGCTCCTAACAGCATATTCAGCTATGAAGTAGCACCCCCGTGATCAATGTCCAATAAGCCCCATCTCCGGAAGTGTGAGAAATTTGGGGCACATTTTAGAAGCAAACCATGACATATTCATGTGAACCAGCAGTTTTAACAAAAAATGATATTTTACTGAATTCATACCCTTTTCAGGTTTTTCTTCTTTCAATGAATTCTGGCCTTGATCCTGTACAATTTTTTCACTATCTACCATTTGTTATGGATAACAATAGAATCCTAGCTACAAGTAGCCCCTGAGATTCCACCACCTTCCAAAAGCCAAACCGTAATGCATGAGGCTTTGAGAAGACATCCCAGATCTAAACCATAAAGTACAATTACCCAGATGAACTGAATATGTATACTTCTTCACATAGTATATCTAAAGTGAGTAGTGAGTACAGTAAACACAAGCACTCTCCTTTTGCCCTAGTGCACAAAGAGACCGAAATGCATTTGCTTTGGTTCTTTAGATGCTCTTCAATGTCAGCTGTGTTTGAACCCTCAGATCTGCTGAACAATTTGTCAAGAGGTAAATAAGCCAGTTGAGTTGAGTACTGGAATATGTGTGATACTCACTACTGTATTTATCCTTTAAAATTAATTTTCAGAACACGTTATGTTAGAGAAAAATGGGAAAGTCATTTCCATGCGATAAACACCATAAAGAGAAGCAAAGTCAAAGGAGAGAGTACGGTAGCATTGCAGACACGTTAGAAGTGCTATGGGCTGTGACTCTGTAATGGGGCATTTCTGAACATTTGAGGTAAATAACAAGATGATACAGAGTTCTTCTCAGTCACATGGCTTTGAAGATGATCAGACAACAGAGAATGACCTCAGTTATGTCAAAAATCTATTTTTTATTAATGGCCAGGGTCTACTCTTCACAATGTTGTACTCCACTGAACAAGATGCCTACCTGTAACCAAGAACTCAGTTGAGATTGTTTCAGCTTTACTGTAAGAAATCAGGCTGCATGAGTTTTTCCACTTCAAACTTTTTCAAGATTACTTTGGCTCAGATTCTTTATGTTTTCAAAAAAATAGAAGAAACAATTTGAACATTTGAGCAAAAACACTTTAATTTTGCCAATTTAGCAAGAAGCCTGTAGACTAAGATTCAATTTGTACATCAATTGCTCATCATTGAGCTGCTGGTCAGCATCATGTCTCCCTTCTTCTAGCCCCTCATCCACTTTTCCTTCCTTGTTTCTTTCCTTCTCTCTTCCCTTCCTTCCTTCCTTCCTTCCTTCCTTCCTTCCTTCCTTCCTTCTTCCTTCCTTCCTTCCTTCTTTCCTTTTTGCTTCTTTCTTCCTTCAATTCTTCATTTTCTCCTCCCTTCTTTCCAGGCTTTATTGCTCTCCTCCTTTCTTTATTTGCTCCTTTCTACTTTTTCTTTCCTTCTCTGTTCCTTTATCTGTCTCTCTCTCTCTGTCCCTCTCTCTGCCTCTCTCTCTTTCTCTCTCTCTCTCTAGTACTATCTGCTAATTCCACAAAAATTTTTAATGCTTATGCATACAACAAATTGCCTATCCGTAGATTAATAGATAGGTTCCCTGAGATAAATCAGGACCTTGTCCCATTCAAAGTTTTGATGTTAGTCTCTGCCAGATCGCTGATATTCTAATGTTTAGCTCCATTTCTTCTCATACTTATCTGTACACTGCTCCAATTCCCTTATCAATACATCCTCTTCATGTGTTCCATCTTTTCTATTAAATACTTGATTACCTTAAACCAGTTTCTCTCACCAATGAACAGTATAGTGCACTGGAATTTATTTTATTTTATTTTAAAGATAA